CAATTTCAGAAAAAAATTCTGATCTAATACAGCCACAAAACTAAATATTAATCCTTCCTCCATCATATTATTAATTAAATATTAATTTTCCACCACAAAAAAATCCTTGATCTCAAGAGTTTAACTGAGGAAAAGCATCTGGATGTAGTGTCTTGATGCTGTACAAACGTTCTGCTAAAGTTTGGCTTGATGATACTGTGTTTGGAAATGATATTTTAGGGACTCGCATCTATTCTTTCCTCTCTGAGTGAGGGTCACAGCTCATTTTTCTCTGGAAAATCTCTTCTCATTTCCAAGGGCCAGCCAAAACCTCAGCTCTGGGGGCGGGGAGTGTAGCCCAGTGGTGGAGGTCTTGCCGAGAATGCCCACGGCTCTGGGTTCAATCCCTAGCACTGAAAATAAATACAACCCTCCCCTCTGCCGTGGCTAGACTTTATGTCAACTTGACACAAGCGTCACTGGACAGGAAGGAACTCAGTTGAGAAAATGCCTCCATAAGATCAGACTGTACGCTAGCTTGTGAGGCATTTTCTTAATTAGTGATTGATGGGGGAGAGTCCAGTCCATTGTGAGTGGGGCTGCCCCTGGGCTGGTGGTCCTGGGTTCTGTAAGAAGGCAGGCTGAGCAGTCATGGGGAGCAAGTCAGTAAGCAGCACCCCTCCATGGCCTCTGCATCAGCTCCTGCCCCAGGTTCCTGCCCTGTTTGAGTTCCTGTTCTGTCTTCCTTCAGTGATGAACTATTTATTACCCATAAGTGAAAGTGAAATAAAAGTCCTTTCTCTCTAAGTTGCTTTTGGTCACGATGTTTCATTACAGCAACAGAAACTCTCTCACCATCCCCCAGTGCCCTCTGAGGTCAGTCCTCATCCCCTTATCCGCCTCTCCCACCATGGCACCCAGAGCAGTGTGCCCCCACTCCATCAGGGCATACCCCTTACATCCTCTCTCTATAAATCAGAGAGAGCTCTGTCCTCTCCATCATAGACAGGGCTGTGTCCTCGGCTGTCAGGTGTGTGTACAGACCAAGTTCAACTCCAGCCCTTCTCAGGGAGCAAAACTCAAAAGAGTATTTATTTCCTTTCAAGGTGTCTGTGAACATGCCAAGGACTCAGCCCATGCCCTCATTTCACAGCCAGACAGAACTCTGGGCACAAAGAGGTGACAGTCACTGACTTTCACTCTGTCATTCCAGGAGCTGGCACCAAGTTTGGAACCTCCCAGAAGTTCCCAGCCCCTGGACACTAACAAGCTACCTCAGGCTGTTGTTAGATGCCGACCTCCACACCCACCGTGAATCAGACCTCCTGGGGCCTGGCCCAACGTGGGCATCAGCAGTTTCAAAGCTGCCCCAAGGATTCTGTCCTGCTGCCAAGAGTGAGAACCATGCAAAGTTCTTTTTGGCTTCGGGATTAGTGCCGGGTTAACACACCCCTTAAACAACGCAAGCACCCTCATGGTACTGGAACTGAAAGGAAAGGGGTGTTAAGGAAGTTGGGGGATCCAGAGAGAACCTGTTTCTTTCTCTAGTGACTGTGCCCACTGGGACATCCATGTTCAGTGTTGCTATAGCGCCGGATTTATTTATTTATTTATTTATTTATTTATTTATTTATTTATTTATTTATTTATTTATTTATGGTCCCCAAAGAAGCTAAAGCAATTGGTAGCTATACCAAATAAATTAATTAAAAATATCCAGGCAATGAGCTCAAATGAAAACAATGGGTTGGAGAAACAGAACATGGCCTCTGCCACCACGTGTCCTAGGCAAGGACACCTGATACCCCTCTGTTCCAATGTCATTCCTGTTTCTATCACTTTCCTTTTCTTATCTTTCTTGCCCCCTCTGGTTTCATGAAGCCCTGTCTGTCCATGAACTACACAGCCGAAGACGACCTTGAACTTCTGATCTTGTTTATAGGCACAGCACCATCCATGCCTGGTACTGCTGCTGGGCTTTGTACATGCTAGGCAAGCATGCTACCAACTGGGACCTACACCCCCACCCAACCCCGCCCAAGGCCTCCTTTTTTTATTTGATGGTGATTTTCCTCTTATAAACCCACGGAAGGAAAAAAAAATACATATAACTCAAGTTTTAAAAAGATTTAATTCATTGCATATTGATTTGGGCATCTTTCACATTTAAATTTAGCTGTTCAGCTAACGAGATGTTTTATTGAAAAACGGAATAGTGACAAGGACAATATCCAAACAAGACCCTCATATCCTCACCACCATTTCCCTGTGTACTCTGCAGAACCTCTCTGCTGACCAGTGTTCATCCCTAAAGGGGCAGGTTGGAAGGAGAACTCTCTGCATTTCTTCTCGGAGGCGCTAGGCTGTATGGGAGATTTCCTCCGAACATTCAAATCTCTTACTGTCCTTTTGCCTCTCCTCTCCCCTCAGACTGGAGATGGGGTGTGGGTGTAGATCTCTGGGTGTCTGGAGAACTGTGCAGAGGAAAAGGGTGGGTGCGGTTCCTTCCCAGAGCACTGATGCTCCTCGGCTCACCTCTCACCAACCAAGGGGGTGGCGGGACTTGCAGAGGATTAGAAGGCAAGCCAGCAAGGCTCTGCACCCTCGTGCCTTCCCTGGGGTGTAGACCTTGCTCCACCCTGGGTGTTGGGAGACGGCTCTTTTATATGCCTGGCTTAGCAAGACCTGTTCATGGGACCTAATGGAAGGGCAGACTTTCTCAGAGAAGCCACCCAGCATGCAACGGGAGAAGGGTGTGTCCTGGCAGCAAAAGGGGCGTGGTTCTTCTCAGGAGAGTGACAGGGGAAGAGGACACTATCTCGATGTCCTATCTAAAAAGACAAGAACAAGAATCCTGTTCTGTTATCGCTTTTCCCTGAGCAGGGGCCTGAGCTGGGGCCACACTGGGTTTCCACATGTCCTGCTGTCCCCCATTATTATCCTCATGAGATTAAAGGTAGAGATGTGGGTCTGTCTAGCCAAGATTTAAGATCAACATTCCAGTTGTAGTTTATCTTTTTACTTTGGGGACTGGGGGCCTTACCAGCAAGCATTCTAACCCCGAGCCACATCCCCAGCCCCGTGTTTACATTTTATTTTGACCCAGGGTCTCCTAAGCTGTCCAGGATGGCCTTCAACTCAATTGGTAGCCTAGGCAGCCCTTCAATTTGCAATCCTCCAGTCCCAGCCTCCTCGGTGTCTGGAATTACAGCCTGTGTCACCAGGCCTGGCTAAAACCAACATTTTAAAAAGGTCAAATGGCAAAAATCACCTGTGGGGCACAGAAAGAAATACGGGAGTTAAAACCTTAAACATTCACAAGGACTGTCCGCAAGGCTGTGAAGGAGCAACAGTAGGGACTCTTTACTTCCTCACATCTTAAAGAAGATGCAGAGGCTGCCCCACGAACACAGTGGGACAGAAGTAGGGCAGACCACACTCCCAGAGTCCCCAGCCCAGGTCTCACCCGCACTTCCAAGGAGTCCCCCAAACCAGATTAAATTAGCCCGACCAAAGCGAGTCCGTTGGTCCTCTGCCTCCTCCCTCTGGCCGGGTTGTCAACAAAGCAGTGAAAGGAGCAAAGGAAGAGGCCAGGGGAGCTGGAAAGAACTTTCCAGAGAGCCTCTGCAAGTCCTCCAGGGGACGGGATTCACTATGCGCTCAAGCCACTCTGCCCCTCTGCATGCCGTCTCCCTCCCCGGTGACGTCACCGAAGGCAGCCTTCGAGCCGAGGCTGGGGAGCAAGCAGCTACTGACCCACAAGAGGTGGAGTGGCAGTTAGTGAACTGTTTGGTTCACCCAGGTGGACAGACCAAGTGTGAGCTAGCAGAGCAAGCAACTCCGGAGAACAGGCTGGTAGACAACAGGCTAGGGGCTGGGACGGTGTCGGACTGGCAGGGGGCAGGGCCCATTTCAGTCCCACAATTCCGCCCTCTGCTCCGAAGCACGCGCCCAGTGTTAGCTGGCACAGTGCAGGGGCTCTGAAAGTGTGGCTGACCAGGGAATCTGCCGGTCCACAAAGCCAGGGAGGACAAGTCTACAAAGACTATGACACATTCCTACCTCTCATCACAGATGGGGGAGGCATACAACCAAGGCACACGACTCATTGAAAGCAGGGGATGGCAATCATTTGACAGAAATACAAAACACTCTCGGAATTAAGAAAAGCGGAGATGAAGAGCTGGAGCTGGGTCCGCGGTGAAGAAAGAGCCTTGCAGCTCTTCCAGAGGACGGGGGTTCCTAGCACCCATATCAGGCATCTCAGAAATGCATGCAACTCCAGCAGCAGGGCATCCCGCACCCTCTCCTGGACTCCAAGGACGCCTGTCTGCACTCACCCACATACCCACAGATACACATAATGAAAAAATAGTTTTAAAACTCAAGAAAAGATGCTGAGAAATAATTTTAAAAAGGAAAGAAGAATTCCGCAGCATCCGCAATGAACATTGCCGGTAGAGCAAAGAGTCGTGGGGTTTGAAGGCTATGAAGGGCCTGTATTCACAGGCGCAGGAAAGGCTTTCAGGCCCAGAGAACAGTGCTTCAAGCAAAGCCACAGGCTGGGGAACAGCCCTGGGATGGAGCAGACGCTTCTCCTCTCGCACAATTGTCTGTCCTCTCGATACCTCAGGCTCCAGAAAATCCACCGTGGTCTCCTCAGGCACCAGGGCCGGCGGTGGCAGAAGCAGACAATGGCTTATGTCAAAACTGGCCCCAAACAAAGGTCAAGAGTTCAGAAAATAGTTCTAAAAGTTAGTGGGGGGAAAAGTATCTGAGGAGACAGGAAAAAAAAAAAAAAATCAAAGAATCTTGCCAATCATCCCTAACCAAACAAAACCACAACCTAGCGAGAAAAAAGAAGAGAAGGAAATGCTTTTCCAGGGCCCGGGCTGGCTCATCACACAAAAGAGGGATGGATGCAGCACGCCTCTGCCTAACACATCTCTGAGCGGGTATTTTAAAGTGAGCCGCCAAAGGAACGGGCTTTCTGAATTCAACTATCTGCAGTTTCCCACCACTCTGCCTGCGAGTCCCTGAACGAGACTTCAACTTAAACTCACCACTAATGGCAAGGTTTTCCTTCTCAGTGTCACGCTGTCCAGGGAATACCAAAGAATAATTCTACAGAGGAAAAGCCCCCCAGCCCCGAAATCCCTTTAACCTTCTACACGTCTATTTTGGCATTCTTTATTTCAAGTCAGTACTCTGAGGTGTCGTGGGTTCCAGCTGCTACTTTCTGGTGCCCGGATAAAGTCCCAGCGCTGTCTTCAGAGGACAAATAGCCACAGCTGTTTCTGCGGCTGCCGAGAGTGTGGGAGGAGAAGCATGGGCTCACTGTGGCCCTTTGGGATAAACAGAAAGGTGAGGAGACCCAGAATTCAGGACACACTGGGGCCATCTCCCTCACACTGCCTGTCCCTGGGGCAGATTTGGAAGCTACACAGAACCTGGTGCTAGTGGAAAAATCTGGTGGCACAGGGCTTCATGTTTTGCAACTTTTTCCTGTAAGCTACATTGTTGGAATCATTTCACAAGCAAACCGTGCCTCCTCCCCAGCTGGCCTACAGACTTCCAGGTCTCCACCCTGGAGTGTTGTAAATGCCAGTGCATCATCAGGCTGATTCACCATTTGCGGGCCGGGCAGCAGCGAGGGTACGTGCTACAGAAACCTAAGCAGGTACTTCAGTATCCTCTCTGCCAGGGCATGGGAAGACAAACCAGCCTTTGCCATCAGTCGGAGGGGAGCAAGGGAGCAGTCTGTGACCCTAAATTTTCCTGGTGTGTCCCCAGTTGAATACAGCACCCCAGCCCATCGAAAATACTGAAGGACTGAGAATGAGCTGTATCTTGGCGCGTCTCTGGGCTTACAGGAGGAGGCTGACTGAGAACAGGATGTAAGTGCTGACACACCAGTAGTATTACAAAGATAGTAAGCACTAGGTTTGTGAAGGACTGGAAATACTCAGCACGCAACCCCCCCATCCCCCGTTTCTAGCTTAATTCATTTGTCCCTTTTTTTGCAGGAAACAGAAAAACAATATGCCTTGAACTAATGGGCAGCTCGTACACGAGGAAAGGACTCAGGAGGACAGGGATGGGAAAAAGGGACGGGGGCATGCTCAATTGATGTTTGCACAAAACTATCTGTAAAGCCTGATGAGGTTTATCAACTCAACCAAATATTATGTGAATAAATACAGAAGCCATGGGATTCTCTTATGGTTCTACCTAACAAGGAACAATTTGATTTTTAAATATGTGTGTGTGTGCACATGTGTGGAGGCCAGGCAGGTGTCTTCCTCTACCAATCTCCACCATATAAATACGTTGTTTGTTTCTTTGAGAAAGGCGGGGTCTCATTGTGTAGCCCTGGCTGTTCAGGAACTCACTATGTAGACCAGGCTGGCCTTGAACTCACACAGCTCTGTCTGCCTCTGCCTCCCGGGTGCATGCCTGACTCTATTATGTCTTTAGACTGGGTCTCCCCCTGAACTCACTGATTGGCTACTCTGGATGGCCAGCACACTTCAGAGATCCACCTGCCTCTGCTCCACCAGCCCTCGAGTTACAGGGATCTGCAACCACACCGGCTTTTATGTGGATGCCGGGATCTGAACTCAGGTCCTCATGTCTGTGCAGCAAGGCCCTTTACACAGGGAGACACACCTTTCTCCAGCCCCAGAAAGTGTATATATTCAAAACACAAACGATCACTTGGAGAGAAAAAAAAACCTCCTTCACTTACATGAAGTAACAGAAAAGGATCTCAAGTGAACACAGTAGCTGTGTCTTTTGATAGCAAACTGCTTCTCTGAATGCTTAATTCCTTCATAAATAAAGGTTTATATGCTGAAGATGTAACAAGTCTGCAACCCTTGATCCAGTGAAGGAACTGTCAATGGATCCTTCAAATCTGGCTTGCATAAAACAAGGGAGAGTTGGACTCCAGAGGTTGAATTTTCTAATTGCGTTAAATCCACAAACCCAACAGGTAGCCAGCCCCTTGACCAGGCTTCCCTGTCTATAGTTCCACTTTCTGTTGATGAGAGAGGACTGAAGAATACCACTTAGTCTGAATTCTAGTTGTTGCTGGTTCTAAGAACTGCTCGGAGGAGGAATCTGGCCACTGTATTTTTAAAAACCCTCAAAATAGAAGCATAATTATTTTTAAGTGGGGCGACCACTTGTCTGAACAGAACTCCCTGCTGAGATCACCAGCGCTTAGCCACAAACGGGCCACATATTTCTAAATTTCTGATTTCAGTCTTTCTAATAAACCATATAGCCCCAAAGCTGAACCCAATTTGTCTTCTAAACACGAGCACATTTTCCCAAGCAAATATGAAAATGAATGAGCTAATGAATAGCTCACTCAGAATACATTTTGCAGAGAAGCCAAGAAAGAAAAAAGGAAACCGTACCTTGTTTGGCCTGAGAATGTTTGAACTCAGGTCCTCAGGTTTGTGCACGTTGGCACTTTACACAATGAGACACTTCTCCAGCCCCAGAAAGTATATTCAAAACACAAAAGATCACCTGGAGAGAAAAACCTTCCCTTCCATGAAGTCACTGAAAAAGAACCCGAGTGCACACAGTACTTGTGTCTTTTGATGGCAAATTGCTTCTCTGACTATCCACAGCAGTCTGAATTAATCCTGTAACATCTGATTTCCAGACCCACAATAAAGATTTTATTAGTGAAGTCTATTCAAGGCAACTTTAATACATTTTTTTTTCCAGAAAAGAGTATTTATCACTTCCATGAATCTGAGGACTATGCTTATATTCTTCATGCCAGATCAAATCAAACAGCTTTTTCACGGGAAAGAACTCCAAAACAGAGACTTGGAGCTTTTGTTGGTCGTTTCCCTCTCAGCTCATAAAAACCTCTCGGAGACTGTACGAAGGAGATGGCCTGAAATTCTCCAGGATACAGGAAGAAGGCAAACCCTGGAAAAGGTGAGCTGTCCATGGATGGACTCCACTAGCCCACTGGAGCCAGTAGAAAGCACAGAAGCCAAATCGTAATAAATGGCAATACTCACGACGGGAGTCCTAGAGTGTGGAATTTCCAAACCCTGGTGGCCGGCAAGGGCTGCGCTGGCTCTGTGCCAGCTTCCCGGGCTCTTAGAGTCACGGCAGCAGAAATCTGCAGCTCAGGCTTTCTTTGCCTTGCCCCGGGAGGAGCCCTTTTCTCTCCTTCCTACGCCCAAGGAGGCTGGTACTCACCAGTCCCAGCTTAGCTGCAGCCCTAATCGCCTGCTTGAAATCTGATGCTTAACCCATTAAGACTGGGCAAGCCTGCCAGAAAGAATGATTGGAAGGTGAAGCTGGCTCCAGGTTAAGGCTGGAGCTTGAGAGTTAGCACAACAGGCAAGCCCTGAGCAGGGAGGATCTTCCACAGCCTCTCCAGGGTGGGGATCAACTCTGGGGTTCTGCTTAGCCACACAGGCAAGACTCCCAAACCTAAGCTCTTCAATTTGTAACCAGTGTTGGCATTTTAACAGTTATAAAATTCAAAACTACTTGACTTTAAAAAAAAAAAAAAGCCTTGTCAAAGACCATTACTATAAGAAAAATTACTTTATTTATGACCTTCGGTGTGGAATTAGCCTTCAATAAATTAATATCTAAGTTTTATTAAAAGCTGAAATGCACAATTAAATCCAATAAATAAACATATCCAATGCTAGGAAGGAAGTTCATGGTACACTAAAGAAATATAAAGCATTAGACACGTTAATTTAACTCAATGATGCAATGCACACTAATGTGCATTAAAAAGTAAACTATCAATACAACCTTTATCATGCATATTAAGAACCCAGCCAGCATTAAAGAAAAAAAAACCTATTACCATAATCCCCATCTTAGAGGACATTTTGTTTTTAATCATCCTACTTTCCAGGTGCTAATAAATTTGCTGAAATACATACATCTCCCTTGGTCTGTTTTCTCACACCATCTTGAGCAGATATTATATACACTGTCAATGTCAACACAAGGCAGCCTCGCCTTAGCCACTGACTCACTGTGCGAGCGTCACAAGTTGTATTCTGTCATCTGAGAGGAGGGAAGAGGGGCCAGACAACTGAAATCGAAGAGACCTCCTCTAGCTCCTACCTGTATTTTTATGTTAAGAAACTCAGGTTTTTTCTGAGAGTTTGATGACACTGTTTAGGGGAAAATATATCACTCAAATCAGAAAGCACATCTAACATCAGATGTTACAAACAGAATCAAGAGACCCCGGGAAGTCACAGAGCAAAGCAGTTTGAAAGTAGTTTAAGCTCTGCACGTAGGGCCAGAGTAACTGAATGGCAGGGGTGGCACTCACCATTACAAACACAGAGCCGCTCTGCTGTGTCCTTTCTAAAGATGGTCTCAGCAAACACCACAGTGAGTCCAGGCAGGCTAGTCAATGCAGAGTAGTGTTTAAACTTGAAATTCCAGCTGCTAGGCTCACCTTCAGTGGGCTCAGAGTTCTGTTTGAGAAATGCGCCTGCCCAGAAAAAATATTTACACAGCCCAGAGTGGGCTGTGGGTGCCGCGGCCAGTTCTGCCTGCCCTGCAGGAGTCTTGGGCTCTGTCTGCTTGACCCAGCCCTTATCAATGCCCTTTGTACCTCACTTGAGATCAGCGCAGAGACAAAATCCACAGCCAAAGCACTGCCCAGGCTAAGCAGATTCAAGACCTCTGACAGTTACTGAAGTCATTAAAAAGCTGAATTCGGTAACTCCGTTTCTGTGAAATCACTCAGGAAATCATGGAAGAGGAGAAAATTGGCGAGACAAGAGGAAGCTCTCTGCATTATATCAATGAGGGAACTGTACGGCAATCTTCATTCCAAACACCCCAGCAAAAAGCGAAGAGTAACCAAGCTGCTAGAAATAGGGCCAAGAGTATCAGGAAGCCGTCACAAAGATTAATTTCAAGGCTATTTTCTATGAAGACTGGGCAGATGCAGAGAGTGTCAGAGCCAAAGCTGCATACTAAAATGTACAAAAGCTTACTCAAGTTTGTCCGTCAAGGAAGGGGAAATGCTAAAAATAAGACCTAGTATGGGTTTATAAGTTCTCCCCCTTTCTATTTTCCTAACAAATTTATGAATGCTATCAAATTAATTTTAAAAAATGGAGTTAAAAAATATTTTACGTGTAGAAGTGTTTGCTTCACAGGTATCTGTGCACCACTTGTGTGCCTGGGGCCCCGCAAAAGCCTGAAGGGGGCATCGATCAGATACCCTGGAGTTGGAGTTACAGAGGGTTGTGAACTATCATTCGCGTGCTGAGAACCAAGCCTAGGTCCTCTGCAAGAGCAGCAAGTGCTCCTGAACCCCTGAGCATCGCTCCAGCCCCAATAATTCAAAATGGTTAATGCAGTCAGTCAGTGAGCGAGCAGCCATCGTAAGGAAGTAGACATCCGAAGAAAGACACGCAGGTTGACAAGAGGGAGAAGCCATAAAGGAGGGAAGGCAACCATTAGCAAACACAAGATGGGAACAAGGGCCAGAAAAGCCACTTAACCAGCCTCATCCACTCATTCCATTTAAGCGTCACACAGGAGAACAGGCTTGCACCAATGTCTCAGCACCTGTCAGGGTTCCACACGAGGGCACCAGAGCGGGGGTTCATGACAGGGACAGCAAGGCCAGGGCGACTGGCCTGTCTCCTGACGTCTGACTAGGTCTGGTGTCTTAAGAAGTGTTCTTCCAAACCAGGTGTGAGGACACATGCCTACAACACCAGCAGTTGGGAGGAAAGAGGACTGAGCTCAAGGGCAGCCTGGGAGACCCTGTCTCAGAAGAACCACGGAACAATGCATGGCAAAGTCCACAGCTTTGCTTATTTTTGCCTCACACCTGTCTCGTGAAGAAGACAAGACACGGGTTATTATTATCTTCATCTGACAAATCAGCCACTTGTTATTTGGCTTCTAAAGGGATCCTAAGGTCTAATTAGAGTTTCACAACATTAATTAGTGTTCAGAGAGGTATCAATCAGGGTAGCCAGTTTACAACACGACTTGGGAACTTGGGCGAAGAGCAGACTGTCCCCATTTCAAGACCCCGAAGAAATGCAGCTACCTTCCTAAGCAAGGATTCCCGTTTATTGCCTAGCTAGTTCTGGAAGAGCCAAGCTCACAAGAGCAGACTCTGCAGTCACTGGTCATGTTTTGGACGGATGGGTACAAACTGTGCCGGTGGACAGAAGCGGAGCTCAGCTCTGCTAAGGGGAGATAGTGTCGTGATGAGGACTGATGCAGAAAGGGGTGAGTGACAAGGAGGTGGGTGCAAAAGGAAGGCGTTTGGGTGGGGCAGGTTGGCCAGGTTTAGCAAGCAGAAGTAGATCACCAGTTAAATGTGAACCACACACACACACACCACTTCTGTGGTGTAAACACATGCTCTATTTTAGCATCCCTGCCCACAGGAGACCCTGGCTTCCACTGGATACAAACCCAGAGGGCAGAGATTCATGCCTGTTTTGTTCACTGCCAAATCCCTAGTACAGAAACAGTACCTGACACATAGCAGGCACTCAGCGATAACTGTGTTCAGGCAGAGTTTATTTATTTATTTTTTTAAAGATTTATTTATTTTATGTATATGAATGCTCTATCTGCACGCATACCCACACTCCAGAATAGGGCATCAGATCTCATTATAGATGGTTGTGAGCCACCCTATGGTTGCTGGGAATTGAACTCAGGACCTCTGGAAGAGCAGCCTGTGCTCTTAACTCCTGAGCCATCTCTCCAGGCCCCTAGAGTTTATTTCTTAAGCTGGA